AGAAGGTCTTAGCTGCTGATTGTTGACAAAAAGTCTAATTTTGCACATTAGAAACAGTACTGTGTAAGTTGGCCATACACATACAGTATACAGGCTGAATGAAAGAAACAGGCTAGTGACACGAACGGATCGATCTCCTCCTGCGTGGAAATGTATCATGACAGCAGGCACTACCAGCTGTCAAAATACCCAGCAGTACCTGCACCTGATTGGTTGCAGGCTCTGCTCAATGAAGAATTTTCCATCTGGCTCCTTTGACAAAAGTCAATTGAAAAATCGACTTTTGTCGGTCTGGGTGTTGCCAATAGACTACTCACAGGGCAAGTTTTAGCCAGTTCAGCATGAACTGGTCAAAATTTGATGCATGCATAGCCAGCTTAAAGGAAAACTTTACCTTGGGCTGCAAACAATTAAAAGGCATCATCTACAAATACTGTGGCTGCTGACTTGAGAAATGGATACTTACCTGTCCATGGAGTCCAGCACTGCCTCCCATGTAGGGTTGCCATCTCATCCTTTTAAAACTGAACACATATAATTACACCAGTTCTGTGGCAAATGTAATGCAGATCAAGCACTAGGTGGGTTTTTATTACCATCGTAATCGGCCACAAAACCTGTGTAATTATTATGTTTTCGGTTTTAAAGGGATGAGATGGCAACCCTTCTTCCATGCAGCCTATTTTTCTCTTCCCCGGCTCCGCCATCCTGGATTTAGGAGCCAGTTATAACTACCTGATGTCTCACAGTTTACTCCCCACTGCGCATATGCAAGCATCACCAGTACAGTGAAGCTGGTCCTGCAATCTCTTGTCCCTCTCTTGACAGAGGAAGGCAGGGCTGCTGTTAGAAACCACAGGGCCCCCTACAGCCAACATGACAGCCCCCTCCCCCCCCCCCATTAAAAAAAAGTTTACTATGATTTAGTTATGAATGAACACAATGAGTGATTGGTACCCATCAACATGGGGACAAGGTGCTTTGGGGGTGGGGGAGCCCCCCTGCCCCAAAGAACCACCCAATTTTGAGAGCATGTGGCCTGGTACAGTTCAGGAGGGGGGGGGTGCTCAATTCCCCCCCCCCCCTTTCCTGACCTGCTGGGCTGCATGCTCAGATAAGGGTCTGGTATGATTTATGGGAGGGGGGACCCCCACACCATTTAAAAAAAAAAAATTGCCATGGGGGTTCCACTCAAAATCCATACCAGACATGAAGGGCTTGGTATGGATGGGAGGGGGGACTCCATTCCAGTTTTTTAAAAAAAATATTTAATTGTCGGGCAATGGCGACAATTCTTTTAACATTCATCTGTCAGTGAGGATCCCCATTAACCGTTTCAATACCGGGCAATTTTACACCTTCCTGCCCAGGCCATTTTCCAGGTTTCAGCGCTCTCACATTTTGAATGACAATTGTGCGGTCATGCAACATTGTACCCAAACTAAAATTTTATCATTTTCTTCACACAACTAGAGCTTTCTTTTGGTGGTATTTAATCACCGCTGGGGTTTTTATTTTTTGCTAAATTAACAAAAAAAGACCAAAAAGTTTGAAAAAAAAAACAAGTTTTTCTTTGTTTCTGTTATAAAAGTTTACAAATAAATAATTGTTCTTCATAAATTTAGTCCGAGATGTATTCTGCTCCATGTCTTTGGTGAAAATAACCCAAATTAGAATGTATTATTTAGTTTGTAGGAAAGTTATAGAGTTCACAAACTATGATATAGATCTGAAAATTGATCAATCCTGAAGTACTGACAGCCAATCTAATTTCTTGAGGTCCAAGAATGTCAGAATAGTACAGATATCCCCCAAATGACCCCTTTTTGTAAAGTAGACAGTCCGACATACTTCATAAGAGGCATGGTGAGTTTTTTTGAAGTTGTATTTTTTTTGTCATAATTTTTCGGAAAATGAAGAAATTAAAAAAATTATTTTCACAATTTTTTTTTTTACATACTGTCACCAGTGCAGTACAACATCATCATATAACTGGCATGGTGGTGAAAAGGGACACTGACTGGTGACAGTATGGGAAAAAAAAAAAAAAAAAAAAAATATATATATATATATATATATATATATATATATATATATATATATATACAGTTGTGTCCAAAATTATTCAACCCCACTGAAATTGAGTGTTTTGGCCAGTTTGACATTGCTTTTGATCATTCAGTCATCTTGCTTACATTTACATTAAAGAGGCACTTGTAGGTCAGACAAATATAACATAACAGTTATAATGAAATAACCACAAATGTCTTTTCTGTGCTCACAGCATTATCAGTTTTATTCAAAACCCAAGTGACATTCAATCTTAGTACTTAGTACAGCATCCTTTTACAGTTATAACAGCTTTTAAACGTGAAGCATAGCTTGACACAAGTGTCTTGCAGCGATCTACGGGTATCTTCGCCCATTCTTCATGGGCAAAGGCCTCCAGTTCAGTCACATTCTTAGGCTTGCGCACTGCAACTGCTTTCTTTAAGTCCCACCAGAGGTTCTCAATCGGATTTAAGTCTGGTGACTGCGATGGCCACTCCAAAATGTTCCAGCCTTTCCTCTGCAACCATGCTCTAGTGGACTTGGAGGTATGCTTGGGATCATTGTCCTGTTGAAAGGTCCAACGTCTCCCAAGCCTCAGGTGTGTGACGGACTGCATCACGTTTCCATCCAATATCTCCTGGTACTGAAGAGAATTCATGGTACCTTGCACACGCTGAAGCTTCCCTGTACCTGCAGAAGCAAAACAGCCCCAAAGCATGATTGACCCTCCACCATGCTTCACAGTAGGCAAGGTGTTCTTTTCATCATAGGCCTTGTTCTTCCTCCTCCAAACATAGCGTTGATCCATGGGCCCAAACAGTTCTAATTTTGTTTCATCAGTCCACAGAACACTATCCCACAACTTTTGTGGTTTGTCCACATGGCTTTTGGCATACTGCAGTCGACTCTTCTTATTCTTTGGAGACAGCAAGGGGGTACGCCTGGGAGTTCTGGCACGGAGGCCTTCATTACGCAGTGTGCGTCTTATTGTCTGGGCTGAAACTTCTGTACCCACATCTGACAAATCTTTTCTCAGTTCCTCAGCAGTCACACGGGGACTTCTCTCCACTCTACGCTTCAGGTAGCGCACAGCAGTCGAAGTTCAGCATCTTCTTTCTGCACGACCAGGTAGCGTTTCAACAGTGCCCTTTGCCTTGAATTTGCGAATGATGCTTCCTAAGGTGTCTCTTGGTATGTTTAACATCTTTGCAATCTTCTTATAGCCATTGCCCTTCTGTGAAGAGAAATCACCTCTTCTCTTGTCTTCCTGGACCATTCTCTTGCCTTCACCATGTTTGTAACCACACCAGTAAATGTCTAGAGGAGCTGAGTATCACAGTCATTTTAAAGCTGCCTAATTGGTGCTTATTATGCTTGATTGCTGCTCGGTGACATCCACAGGTGTTTTCAATACCTGATGGAAAGCACCTGTATGAACCTCTGTTCTTCAGAGTGGTAGTCTTTAAGGGGTTGAATAATTGTGGCAATGAAGAAACCACATAAGAACCATTTATATGTATTACATAAACAATTGATGTCATTTTAGTTGCATTTGGGTAGTTACAACGTCCTTGTAGGATTTGATTCTGAATACAATTCCAAATGTACACTATAGTCCCTAAACCCCTTTACAGCATTGGGGGTTGAATAATTTTGGACACAACTGTATATTATTATTATTTTTAATTTTTTATTACATTTTTTTTTTTTTTTTTTTAAGTTTTTTTTTTCATATTTCACTATGACCAAAGTAGTACAATGTTACCATAGTAACATTGTACTACTTTGGGGAAGTGATCAGTATTTTTTTTTACACAATTTACTTATAGCAAAGAATTACTTTGCTATAAGCAAGCATTTACCTGAATGACATCGATTCATTCAGGGTTTTTTTTTTTGTTTTTTTTTTTGTGCTTAGCTGTGATTTGGCCACAGCTAATCACATGACATGTGCATGTGACCTGCTGTGACCATTCACAGCTAGACACTAGTATACAATGGATGGCATGAATGAAGCCATCCATTGTATACAACTGTCATGTGACCTGCTGTGATTGGTCACAGCAGGTCACATGGTACCAGCAACAGGGGCCGGTACTCAGATCTGTCATCGGCCATGTCCCCGAGGTACACGGCCGGTGACAGATCGCGCCGCTGTGCGGCTCTGCAAGCGCGCAAACTGCGCATGTGCGGGAGGACGCCATATGGCGTACACCCCGGAAAGCTAATGTATTTTTGCGGCCGCCAAATGGCTATAGGCCGGGCGGCAAATGGTTAAAGAATGATTCATTACTAAAATAGCACATGACTTAATATAACTCGTGCGGTATTTTAGTAACTGAGTGGTAACTTACAACATACTCAGATGTGGTAGGATACCGTTCAGTAAATTGTCCCTGTTCCAAGTTCGCGGTCAAACTTTCATTATGTTCAAATGTTCGACTGCGAACAAAACGGGGGTGTTCGGCCCATCACTAATCAGCATTTTACTAAGGACAGGTTTGTCCATGGGAGATCATAGGAAACAAGGGCTGCCATATTAATGACAAGAGGCATTTACTAAACCCACAACAGTAAAATCAGTCTGTATATGCAGTAAAGCATGCTTGTTATACTCACTGTGGAACCTAAGGAATTAATCCTCTGCATTGTGTAAAAAGGCTGTTTGATCCTGTTTTCTCTGTTGCTCCCCATTTTTTAAGTGACCAGCTCTAATCTCCTGATAAGACAGACTTAACCGTAGGCATTTTGCACATGCTCAGTTTGGTGTGTATTGCTAGAGAGGTTTTTTTTTTCTTGGTAGGGTGCATGTGATCAACACAGGGCCAATCAGCACTGGTCAGACAGAAGTCAGGGGTTTTGAATCCTCCTAGAACACACAGAAAAGTGGTGGGCTGGACACTGAGAGAAGTCACAAGACTGCTCTAACTGCTGATGAAAAAAGGTATTTGGCAGTTTATATTTACTAAAACAATTGAATTTCCATGTTGAGTACTGTGGGAGACTGGATATAGTGAATGCAGGGTCCTGGGAGACCGGATATAGTGAATGCAGGGTCCTGGGAGACAGATATAGTGAATGCAGGGTCTGGGGAGACCAGATATAGTGAATGCAGGGTCTGGAGACCAGATCCAGTGAATGCAGGATCCTGGAGAGACTGGATATAGTGAATGCAGGGTCCGGGGAGACCAGATATAGTGGATGCAGGGTCCAGGGAGACCAGATATAGTGAATGCAGGGTCCTGGGAGACTGGATATAGTGAATGCAGGGTCCAGGGAGACCAGATATAGTGGATGCAGGGTCCAGGGAGACCAGATATAGTGAATGCAGGGTCCTGGGAGACTGGATATAGTGAATGCAGGGTGCGGGGAGACCAGATATAGTGAATGCAGGGTCCAGGGAGACCAGATATAGTGAATGCAGGGTCCTGGGAGACTGGATATAGTGAATGCAGGGTGCAGGGGAGACCGGATATAGTGAATGCAGGGTCCTGGGAGGCCAGATATAGTGAATGCAGGGTCCTGGGAGGCCGAAAATAGTGAATGCAGGGTCCTGGGAGACTATATAGTGAATGCAGGGTCCTGGGAGACCAGATATAGTGAATGCAGGGTCCTTGGAGACCGGATCTAGTGAATGCAGGGTCCTGGGTTTAGTAACACTTAAGTGTTCTGCAAAAACGGCTTGCAATGAGAAATTGGGATAAAGAGAGAACCTCTGTGTGCCCTTTTTAGGAAACCCATATTTCTCTGGGAATCCTTTATCATGTAACAAAGCCATTGAATTGCAGGATAAGAGTACCAACTGTGAGGCCACCAAATGAAGAGGCCTAATGCAGGCCATAGATGTCATTTATTGGCCGAATTTTCGTCATCACGAAAAATCGGCCGATATTCACGCCGTTAGTGGGGCAATGCCGTCAGCCATTTTTCGGGGATCTTCTCGTTTCTTTTTATCGGTCATGCTGGAAAATCCACGAAAAACAGCCGTTTTTCGTAGACATTGGTGGCAGCATTGGCAACGGCAGCGACTGATTTTTCATTTATCGGCCCGATAACCGGCCTGTCTATAGCCAGCATAAGCTTTTCCATGTGATGTTTTTTGATTGCTACTGATTAGCCAACACCATAACTACCAAGTTAACATTTGCCAACGTAACCCCAGCTCAGACAAAACCGCACATGAACCTTTTTTACAGCGCAGTGCACCTCTTTGCATTACGCGGTACACTGCAGTGATGGGTGTTGCCCACTACTATAACAATTCATTTGAATAACAAACCAAATTAATTGCGCTTCAATGCACCATGGTGTGCTCATTACTGTGCGCTAAAGTAAAACACGCATTTCACAGTGCATTGTGATAATGCAAAATCGTGAATCCTGGCCGATGTACGTAATGAACCAAGCTCTTCATACTTTAATAAAATAGCGCATGAGTGACAAGGAAGTACTTTAGGAGGAAATCCTGAATATAGAGAAATAATGAACAAACATTCCACCCAATTAAAGTAAGATATAAAAGAAAAACTAGATGCGAGAAATGCAGGTGGCAAATAAAATAAGACTTTGGGAAAACCAATTCAGGGAAGACATCCAGCCCTTTATCTTAAATTATTTAAGAATGAAAACTATTATCGGGATTACTTATGTACAAAACCTTTTATTATCAAAAATATATGACAACTGGGTCTCATTAAATGCAGCTTTATCTGTGTGTGGCTGACATTGTAAAGGATTTGATTTATAGGTTTACTTCATTATAAATCTTAGGTGAATTTATTTCCTGAATTTATTTTCTCATTTTGAAATAAAAAGATTATGCATATAAAGGGTCATTTGGTAGGGAGACAGAAAGAAATAGTAATGTAAAAAAATAATGACAGATATTGGATTATATGTTTGTTTTTTAAAGTCTTCTATTAGACTGCACAAGGTTATAATTTTTTTGTAGTTTGCTGACATCTACTGGCGGTTTGTGAGCCATTACAACTTGTTTACTAATATAATTTTGGTATCTATCTCTGTCCTCCCCTGCTGTTCAGTGCTCATAAGTTTTAGTACAAGTTAGACCTTCCCCACTTATCCCATGTTCCTTTAACCTCCCTAGCGGTATGATTATTTCAGATGTTTGGTCCTGAAAGCGGTACCATTATTTTGCATTGAAATAAGTAGTTTTTTTATTGTAGGCTGTAATTTTTAGGAATAACTCACTGAAATCTGTCCGAACAAGAGTCTAGTAAACATCCCGGGTATGATAAAATTTGAAACACGAAATCATAAATTATAATTTAATAAATAATCATAAAAAATAATAATATAATAATAATACATTTAATTCAATAATATAATCAAAACCGAACACACTGAAATTTGAAATATAGCGCCAAGTTCGCACATTGCTGAGCAAAGTCGCAGAATCGTTTTCAGTGTCTGATGACGAATTTCCCCACAAATCATTATCACTCAATTCTGCAAGTAGTTCTGATTTACTATCGCTGTTCTCTAGCTGATATAAACCCACCTAAATTGACACTTTTTGGACGCCATGGACGTTTCTTAGTTTCCAGGCAGAAAGAACAGACAAAATGCAGGCAGGGCACAGGACAAAGCACTAGGGACAATATGTATGTTAAATGGGTTGAAACAGCAATGTTTTACTATGAAAAATGTGTTTTGAAAAAAATGAAATTTTTTTAAATTTTCAAATTTCCCGCCGCCGGCAGTACCCGTACGTCCCGACGTCACAGGGACCGGAACACAGAAGCCGGATGCCGGCATCGACCGGAGGAGATGGCCGGGGATGCTGTAGGGGACACATCGCGGGAGCGAAGGACAAGGTAAGTGCTGCAGGGACTCCCTATGCAGTGCCGCATGGTAAGCTTGAGTGTAGTTGGGGGTTACCGCTTTTGGCACTGACATTTTACCCCGAGCTACACTCGGGAATACCGCCAGGGAGGTTAATCAGTGTTAGTTAATCACAGAGACAGGGATTAGGAAAGTCATTGTCTTTTTACACTTCAAATCATTCTCTGCACTACCATTAGCTGAAGTAAAATTGAGTTATATTTAAAGTCTGTGCCTTATTGAAGAGTTGAGCTGTCTGTGGATGATGCCGAGTTAGCAGCTGACCATACATATCTAAGGAAGTATATCAGTGCATAAAGCTTAGATAGATAGATTAGAATTATATAGACTAATGTGCTAGTTCCATCCACATATCTGAGACTTCTCCAGTGCTACACCTTAACTATAGATTGATCTACCTCATTATATCAACCTGTCCACCAATATTTTATGCTTGATCATCTCCTTAGAAACACACACCCCTCTATAATAATATCTATAAATGGCTAAAGTAACAATTTTCCTCTTCTTACATAGAATTGTCCTTCTGTGAGGTCTTCTCAATACTTACTAAACCATACTTTCAAAGCAAAAAACAGGTTCCTGGTGTTAACTGCTTAATTGTAGGTTTTTGTTATTATTATTATACAGGATTTATATAGCGCCAACAGTTTGCACAGCGCTTTGCAAAAAGAAGGTAGACATTACAGTTACAATACAATTTGGTACAAGAGGAAACAGAGGGTCCTGCTCATTCTCAAGAAGGATTTAAACAGCAGAATTACAACAACCAAGGACCTTACCAAAGTCATCACACAACTATGATTTGGATGTTCCACTGCTTACAGAACAACTAACTTTCAACAGAATATTGAAAAATCTTAGTCACCAATATTTGTTATATCATTCATTACTGTTCAAATGCTGGGTTCCCATACAAAAACTTAGCTTGTCTTGGTACACATTACTGTACCACATCACTTTGATTTTGTAACCAGGTTCCTTACAGCTCCTCTTGCTTGGCTCTCTTTCTTACATAGAGCACTTGTAAACAGGAGCCAAAAGAGTCCTGGTTTTCCTCTTCTTACAGAGAAGTGTGCTATTGGGAGGTCTCCACAATGCCTTCTTACAAAGACTTTCAAAGCATAAAATGGGTTTCAGGTGCTCACTGCTCAATTGTAGGTTTTATTCTCAAGAAGGCATTAAACAGTAGCGATACAACAACTAAGGACCTTAATAAAGTCATTATACAACAGTGATTTGAAGAGAAGCCAGAAGGGTCATTAGCTGGTTGTCCTACTGGGTGGTCTCCTCAACACCTCCTTACAAAGACTTTTAAAGCATAAAATGGGTTTCAGGTGCCCATTGTTTTATTCTGAAGAAAGCATTAAACAGTAGAATTACAGCAACCAAGGAGCCTAATAAAGTCATCATACAACACTGATTGAACAGAAGCAAGAAGAGTCCTTGGCTGGTTTCCTCTTCTTCCATAGAACTGTCCTACTGGGGACTCAATCAATACCTCCTTACAAAGACTTCCAAAGCATAAAACAGGTTCCAGGTGCCCACTGCTTTATTCTCAAGAAGGCATTATATAGTAGACTAACAACCAAGGACATTAACATGTTTCACACTAGAGGTGTTTACTTATAAGGTCCTCCTTACACTTTCTTCCTATCACTGCTCACTTCCCCAGAGTGACTGGTATTGGGCCCTCTCTTCAATCCCATTTTAAAGCCCAACCTAACCACCCCTCTCATCCTCTTTACTCCTCTCCTCTGAAATTTTTGAAAGACTTTCTAACAAGTCTTCAGGTCGGTCACATAACAAAGGGTCCTCTTCCTCTTAGTCTTGTCTCTTGTGCTGTATGGTCCTCAATGATGCAACCGGCAATGCTAAAATTCTGTCACTAGCCACATTTTCTGCATTACTATATGTACAGGGGAATGTGGTTAACCTACCCCCAACCTCAAACCTGTCCCACCAACCCCTGGAGCAGTGCCAGTGCCTTCTCATAATGCTGAAAAGTTCATCAATAATAACTAGAATATTCATCCAAGCATACTAAGAGCCAATTAGCTTATTTTCACTAAAGATTGTTATTCAGGAAAATAGTTACTTTAGAAAGAGAGAAAACGAGAGAGATGTAGGATGTTGGCTTTCAAGTATGTGTCTGTGGGTTGTATCGCTGATACACTGACGTCAAGGCCCATCATTACATATGTTTATGAAGGTGATTTTGTTTTCCCTCTTCTTTGACTTCTCATCTTTTCCCTGTAAAATGAATCATTTTATTTCTCTTTGATAATCTACAGAAGAATCAGACTCAAATCCAACAAACATTTATGACATTCCACTGCTGGGATGTATTTCAAGAGAGCTAGTTAAAATTATTTGTATAAGGAGTTGAAATTTTGCCGAGCACATTTTGAATATGTTGACACTCAACTTACATGCTTGAAGTTTGCACCTTGATCAGAATCAGCGAGTGATGACGCTGGCATCTATGGAGCCCAGCAGTGTAGGTCTGGCGTTGAGGTGATCGTAGACATAAATATAAGCCATTAAAATAAGAGATACAAGTGAAATTGATTGATATAAATTGAAATAATTGACAGAAATTTTGCTGAAATTTTGACAACTGATTTAGGCCCATCCGCCCGCATTGTACTGTGGACGGGCGGCTCCTACAGGCACAGCATTGTACCTGTATGTCAATCCCTGTTACTGGGTTCAGGGCACCTCAACGACTCATGCTGTGATTTGACACAGCAGGATTTTGTCAGCAGGTTCCTAACATGAATCATTGGCCGGGACCTGCTGACAAAATCAACTTTGTCCAATCGCAGCCCAGAGCTTTTTAGCAGCACATAATACAACAATAACACTTTGTTAGGCACACATTTAACCCTTATTGATTACCCAGAGATGTTAACCTCTTCTCAGC